ATGTGTACATCATGTCCGCTCTCTTGCATGACCTTCTGTCTTTACTTCCTCTCCAGAAAACGTCTGTCCACTGTTTCAGAGCGAGTCTGAACCTCTGCAGGTCGGGAGCTTCCCGAGGCCCAACAGGCCCTCGGACTGTCGGTCCACATTCTTCAACTTCCTGTCCAAACCCCGTGACACGAACTTCCTGACGAAAGCTTTGTAACTTTAGAGGTTTGGTTGAAGAAGTGTGGAGACAGTGAGTATTGATGATGTGTTTGCTCTTTACTGAGCTCAATATATGAACTGATGAATCAAATAGTTGTGCAGTTATTTTTTAAGCATCCTCACTTTACCTTTGGTATCAAACAGCTCTGTGAGGTTTTATTTTTCAATCCACTGTCGTGATTTCCATCTGACTGTCCACAGAGATGTCCCTGTGATAAACCACGTCCTTATTCAGGCTGCATCTCTCCACTAATATCTTTTCTGTGCATAGAGCAGCTTATTTACATTTTTTAAATATACTTCTCTCCTCCCAGACTTCCGAGCAGCAGGATGATGAAGACTACAATCATCCCTTCATTGTGTTTGGAAACCTTAAGCCTCTTTTGCAACTTAATTTCCTGGTGGTGCGGGAGGTTAACATGGTTCAGCGGAATCTCTCTGACAGAAGAAATTAAACCAAACTCCTGGGGATTGCGCCGCTCTCTCAATTTGTGCCGAATCACCAGGGGACCTGTGCAGCAGGGCAACTGATAACTCACCCTTGATTCAGCACAAACATTCCTCTCAAACCCTCGTTAATTAACTCCTGCTTCAAATCCCAGCCTGCCCCGGCCTCCCCACGTCGACTGGCGGAGGCCGGCCGCGCTGCGAGACGCCGTCGAGCTGTATTTCATTAATATGTTGATGTGAGCTGTGCTTCATCAAGAATTCAGCCTGTTAGTGCTGCTGTCTCCTGTTTCTCATCATGGAATGAAGACAGACAGGAAGTCCGTGGAGCGTAGAAGGAGGAAACCCTCAGAAAGGAATCCGATTATATAGGTCAGGTGTCCATTTACAGTTATTGACGAGCTGCCCTCTGAGCCCCCCCCCCTCCAACTCATCTTACGAGCTGCCTGACACATCGACGTCCAGCTCGTCCACTGTGAACAAGGTCTGCTTGTTAAATTCTCCCAAATTACATAGAAACACGTTTTCTCAACGTGTTGGTTTTTATTCTATTTGTGCATCAACAGATACAAAGTGAGATTATTATGAAGTATTGTTATTATCTGATTAAAACCCTTGGCATGTAAATCAAGCTGCTGCTCTGTCGTTCAGACTTTTCTTCACTCGTCCAAAGAAACAATCGACTTTCCTCAAGTCACGTTTATTTCAGAAGCACATTTAAAACAACCAGAGTTTTAAAGTGCTGTACAATTCATGAAATAAAAATAAAATCTAATTAAGCTCAAACACACGTGAAGACACTTCAGTTCATCTACAGAGGAGTTCACGTTACATGAGCAGCTGATCTCAGCATCTGAGGCTTCATCCACACGACCACTGTTTGAACTACAGACACGTCCCAGACGTAAACGCTGCTGCTCCTGTAGTTTGAAAACTCTGAAGCTGAAAGTTTGGACACGATGACGCACGTGAGATGTTGTCTCTCGTCCTGGTTTCAGTTTGGATCCTCGCAGCTGGATTCTGCTCCCAAACAGAGGGAATAGTAATAATCCAGTCATGACGAGATTACAGCTTTCAAACAATCCTCAGGTCGTTCAAACAGAGGAGCGCTTCAAGTTTTACAGGATTCTGTAGCTTAAGTCACATCAGATGAGTGGACAAGACAAAGATTCCTCTATTTGTAATACGAAGTGAATATCCTGGACACATGGTTGTTGTGAGATACAACGGGTTAACTAGGGGGCGCTCTCACAGTGAGGACTGTCAGACAAGTGTCTCTCAGGACGCCGTCTTCTAATTTGTCCCGTCACAGTTTTACAAAGAACCAAAATGCTGTTAAAAGCTTTTCATAATAACACGAGCGATCTCTCACGTGGTGTTTTGTGTAGCTGTGTGCTACATGCTCGCTACATGCTCGCTCATCCTATTTTCCATAAAGTTGTTACCGTCCATGCAGACAGACAGACCTCATAGTGGGGCCTGGAAAGCTGTTTCCCCCTGCTTCCAGTCTTTATGCTAAGCTAAGCTAATCATCCAGTGAAGACCACCAATATTTCACAAATGATCCGTTGCCTGAAAGATTCTCGATGTGAAAACATTTTGACATCAGGTGACAGAGAGCTGCAGTTTTCTTCACAACAGAGACTCAGCTCCATTTCTCCACAGCTGTCCCAAATATCCCATCATGCATCTTTTCCCCAAACAATCTTAACAATAAACCGGAATGGTCACTTGAACGAGGACGTCCTCTCCGTCTGTGACGTTGATTGATTGAATCTCTGGCGAAGTGCAGCTGACTTAAACTTTAGCGAAGAACTTACGTATTAATGATGTTATGCTGTTAATCACGATCTTTTCTTGAACAGGACATTGACCTTTACTCAACTTCGTGTCCAAGAGTAGGGACCAGCTGTCAGCCGTCACCGTGACGACCCCTGTTGGTTTGTGAGCACCTGATCTCAAGCCTCAGTTTCACATTGTGTCCAGCGCCATCTTGGTTTTTTGAAACCAGAAGTAACAACATTTAATCAGATAACTGATTGAAACCAAACTGAGTCAATCAGAGTCAGATGAGTATGAAGCCGAACGTCAGGGTTTGGAAACACTGATGAACTTGCTGATGGATTGAAACGCTTGAAGAGCAGGAACCCAGAGACAATTTCTTCTGCTCTTTTGAATCATTTAAAAGAGACAAGCGGAGTTCTTCCAGCCCGATTCCCTCGACTGCAGACGCACTCCGCTACGATCAATAGAGGAAATTGTAAAGCAGAGAAATTGGACCAAAGGGCCGGAGAAGAAGAAGAAGAAGAAGAAGAGAAGAAGAAGAAGAGAAGAAGAAAAAGAGAAGAACTGCTGATTGAAAAAAAACAGCAAAGGTCAAGAAGGAAGAAAAGAGAAGAATCCAATCATTCCCCTGAGTTTAACAAATGAGCTGTGTGTGTGTGTGTGTGTGTGTGTCTGTGTGTGTGTGGGTCTGTGTGTGTGTGTGTGTGTGTGCAATGTTTTTACGTTGGCTTGTTGGTTGAGCCTCAGACTCACGGTTTGTTTATTCAGAAATAACATCACTCTCTGTGTTCGCCTGCACACTCTGACACACACACACACACACACACACACACAGTTAAAGACTGGCAGAATGAACATGTGAGTGCACGTCACGCTGTCATGAATGACACTGGATTCTTTTGTGTCTCGTGTTGGTGCCACTTGACTCCAGCGCCCTGAAGTCGTCACAAACATCATGAGACCTGTTGCTGCTGTCGCTCATGATGATGTAAACATTACGTGTGTTCCTGTCCGTCATCAAAAAGATCAGGATTGTCATTATTAGTATTTTATAAAGAATCATGTGAGATTCCCATTAAACCCTGAGGGGTTTGTGGAAATACACACGAGTCTTTGTGTTCATATCTGAGTTGTGAATCTTTGACTGTCCTCACAGATTTTCATGATGCATATTAAACAGAGATGATCTCTCACCCACTTACTCCCTCTGGTGTTCTGCTGCTATTCCTGTCGAGCAGCTCGTGAGTCAAACAGTCCTCCAGGAATCACACACACTCACAGACACACACTCAGAGACACACACTCAGAGACACACACACACA